GTCGTTGCGACGCAACCTCTTTTTAGAAAGCAACAAGGAGCGTCGTGTAGACTTCCTGCTTCGTAGCCACAATTACTGTAATTTGCAAGGGACCAATCCAGCTGATTTTGTCCATTCATATGTGCCTCTAGGACGGATATAAGTGCTATTCGAAGTGCACGTTATTACCTCCCACCATACCCCACCCAAGACGCCGGGCTTCTAAGTCCTTTCCTTCAATACACAGGTAACAACAAATAGTAATGCATACATAAAAGTGTATAATATACTGTGTATATAGATTGGAGGCCATTGCCATTAGGAGGCCACTCCTTGTAGGTTGGAGGCCATCACTATTAGGTTGAGGCCATCGCTATTGGCTTCCTTTTAAGCTTTATTCCCGAGAGCGTTTGCGAAGGGTTCTTCGTAAAAAGACATCTGCAGAACTACGTCTCATCTACATTTTCACATCTTCGCCTCTGCACATCCACATTCTCACCTATATCTCTGCTCATCTTCACATCTACATTCACACTCTGCTCATCTTCACATCTACATTCACAACTGCACATCTACATCTCTGCATATCTTCACATCCTCACATCGACATCTCTGCTCATCTTCATCTTCACACATCTACATCTCTGCTCATCTTCACATCCTCACATCTACATCTCTGCTCATCTTCACCTCTCGCTCTTCTTAACTTTCTCTCTTAAGGCCGGGGACGTGCCGCCGGACCGCCACGAAACGCGACCCCCTGCGGAGATCGTGCGTGTCGAGTGCGCGAAATGCAGGCGAGAGTGCGATTTGGATTTGTCCGTCGCAACCCTCTGCGGAGATCGTGCGTGTCGAGTGCGCGAAATGCAGGGGAGAGTGCGATTTGTCCCGGTCGCGGGCAACCGTCTGCGGAGATCGTGCGTGTCGAGTGCGCGAAATGCAGGAGAGGGTGCGATTTGACTTGACCCGGCCCAGGACAACCCTCTGCGGAGATCGTGCGTGTCGAGTGCGCGAAATGCAGGCGAGGGTGCGATTTGACCCGGTCCGGGACAACCCTCTGCGGAGATCGTGCGTGTCGAGTGCGCGAAGTGCAGGCGAGAGTACGATTGGACCCGGTCCGGGACAACCCTCTGCGGAGATCGTGCGTGTCAAGTGCGCGAAATGCAGGCGAGAGTGCGATTTGTGTCTGTCCCGCGCAACCCGCTGCGGGACTGTGGACTTTGTAGTACAACTGTAGTGTGCGGAGCAATCTGTCGAGCTGGAAGCTGAGAACTGGCGACTTTGTAGTGCACCTTGAGTACGCGGAGTATCTGGGGAGCTGGAAGATGAAGAACTTTAGCACACGGAGTATCTGGGGTGCTGGAAGATGAGAACTGGCGACTTTGTAGTACCACTTCAGTACGCGGAGCAAGCTGTGGAGCTGGAAGCTGAGAACTGGCGACTTTCTAGTACAACTTTAGTACACGGAGTATCTGGGGAGCTGGAAGATGAGAACTGGCGACTATCTAGTACAACTTTAGTACGCGGAGTATCTGGGGAGCTGGAAGATGAGAACTGGCGACTTTGTAGTGCAACTTCAGTACGCGGAGCAAGCTGTGGAGCTGGAAGCTGAGAACTGTACGTGGATGAGTCATCTCTCGCGGCGGCTCTGGCGCCCCTGCAGCTGAGTCATGTCTCCCGGCCACCCGGCTCGCTTGAGAGGTTGACAAATTTTAGCTACTTTGCTTACTCATAAGTGGCTGCCACATCGTGACGTTAGTATGTGTGTACTTCACCTTCATGAGAAACGATGTTCGCTTGGAAGACACGAGTCGCTTGTCATGATCGTGACGTCGTTTACTCTCAGGTCGCCCTGTTCGTGGAAACTTGAGTGTGAAATGTACGTTCTTCAGTTCTATTTGAACCTCTTCAGCGCTGGACTTGCACAACCTTCAGTCTCGTACGCAACGCTCGTTTTGGAGACTTGGCGCTTCACTTTTGGAGGAAGTCTCGTAGGAAACGCGGGTTTTGGAGACTTGGTGCTTCATTTGTGGAGGAAGTCTCGTACGAAACGCCGCAGATCTACCTCTGTATACCGCGACGCACCCACACATCGGCGTAGCTACATCCCACCTGCGCATCCACATAGGCACTCCTTCACATCCGCCCTCTCCTTCTTTCTTTGTACACCTTTCTTCTCTGAATAGTTTAAATTGTATCCAGAGGTCATGGCTCTGGGACGTCAAGTGGAACTATTGGCTTACTCGAAATTGCTCGAAAATCACCTGTCTCGCATGTTCGAGGGGTTCTTTCACGGCGTTCTGTGGAGCACTTGAATAGTTCGAGCCTGGAGCTGCGTCGAGCGATGACCTGACCGTTGTGGTTGGAGCCTTAGTTGGAGTCAGTGCTGCAAGGCAAGACATTTCCATAAAGCCACACATAATTTGGAGGATATCTGTTTTTGACGACATTGAGCAGTGATTGCGCAAACAATGCCTTAAGGTGTCGGTGGAGGATGGATGAAGGATGAGCTCCGTGGTTGGAGTGTCCGGAGCTTCGAAGTTTGCATGGAGCTAGTGAAGGCATTGCAAGTTTGAATAGTTACAGGTTGCTAGCAGAACATGCTTGCGGAACAAGCTTTTGGTTCGAGTCGTATACCCGGGACGCGCGTCATAGTGGCGCGGTGACTGTTCTATTGTTTGAAGGGACTGTCCGCGATAATGGACCAGTTACCGCGGGCGTCACAGGGTCTGCGATGGCAAGAGTTTCGCAACAATGCCATGAACCAGGGGGCGGAATGGCGTGGACGTTTGCAAGAGTTGGGACGGGAGGAACTGCGCAGCTTGGCTGTCGCCGGAGGCATCAGAGCGAAGATAGGCGACAGATGGCTGCCGGTTGCGCAACTGCGCTCTGCCTTGATGGAAGCCTGGGCGCCAACAGAGCAGGCCCAATCGCTGTGTTGTGGGTATCGATAGGTATGAGCTGAAAAAGTTACAGGGTATATGTTCTGTTCAGAAACGCCGGCGTGATGTTGGAAGCTGATGGGACCTGATATTTTGCTTTTGCGAGCCTATGCGTTGTTTCAGGCGAGCTCGTCTTCAAGGTCGGTAGCGGAAGCTCGATGGGAAGAGTTTCGCAACAATGCCGTGAACCAGGGAGCGGAATGGCTTCGTGGATGTTTGCAAGAGTTGGGACGGGATGAGCTGCGCAGCTTGGCTGTTGCCGGTGGCATCAGGGACGATAGGCGATAGATGGCTACCGGTGGCACAACTGCGCTCTGCGTTGATGGAAGCCTTGGCACCAACAGAGCAGGCGCAGTCGCTGTGTTTTGGGTATAGATAGGTATGTGCTGAAAAAGCTACACGGTATATGTTCTGTTTCTTCACGCTGGCGTGATGTTGGAAGTTGCTGTTCTTGCTCATGGGGTTTGCGTTTGCTTTTGCGAGCCTATGCGTTGTTTCAGGCGAGCGCGTCTTCAAGGTCTGTCGCGGAAGCTCGATGGGAAGAGTTTCGCAAAATTGCACGCGAACCAGGGAGCGGAATGGCTGCGTGGAAGTTTGCAAGAGTTGGGACGGGATGAGCTACGCAGCTTGGCGGTTGGCGGAGGCATCAGAGCGAAGATAGGCGACAGATGGCTGCCGGTGACACAACTGCGCTCTGCATTGATGGAAGCCTTGGCGCCAACAGAGCAGGCCCAGTCGTAGTGTTTTGGGTATAGATAGGTATATGCTTCCAAGGTTAGAGGGTATATGTTCGCTGTTTCTTGACGCTGGCGTGATGTTGGAAGTTGCTGTTCGTCTTGCTCTTGGGGCTTGTGTTTTCTGTAAGCAGCCGATGCATTGTTTCAGGCGAGCTCGTCTTCAAGGTCGGTAGCGGAAGATCGATGGGAAGAGTTTCGCAACAACGCTGTGAACCAGGGAGCGGAATGGATTCGTGGACGTTTGCAAGAGATGGGAGCGGTAGAGCTGCGCAGCTTGGCGGTTGGCGGAGGCATCAGAGCGAAGATAGGCGACAGATGGCTGCCGGTGACAGAACTGCGCTCTGCATTGATGGAAGCCTTGGCACCAACAGAGCAGGCCCAGTCGTAGTGTTTTGGGTATATAGATAGGTATACGCTTCCAAGGTTACATGGTATATGTTCTGTTTCTTCACGCTGGCGTGATGTTGGAAGTTGCTGTTCTTGCTCATGGGGCTTGTGTTTTCCTTTGTAAGCCGCCGATGCATTCTTTCAGGCGAGCTCGTCTTCAAGATCGGTAGCGGAAGCTCGATGGGAG